AACGAGGCCCCACCTCCCACCTCCCGTACGGTGTCCTGGTTTTGACAAACGCAAATATGATCACACTGACCTGTATTCCACTGAGTCATATTTTTTAATCTGACAGAAGTTGACCACATCAGCGCACAAGAGCTGTTTTGTTTTTTTTGTGTTTTTTTTCGCTTAGTTTATGCAAATTATCCATGCGGTTTTAAGTTTCGTTTCTGCAAGAGTTGCGCCAAGCTGCATTAAACACATTATAATCTCAAACGGGCTGATGTGGCTCTAGAGTCGTTATGGTTTATATGTCGTAAAGTTGAATTTATTTATGCAGATTAAAAACGTTAATGATTAATCGATAATCGATCGTTAATTCTTCCGACGATCGATTAAGAAAATTTCATCGAATGCCCATCCCTACTACATGGTAAAAGGACAACTTCCTCAGACACTGAAGGCGCTGGTGTCTCTTTTACACACAGCAGCACAATTATGGTCCAAGCTCAATTTAGTCTATGTTCAGACTGCAGCCTGAAGTGACCCAAATCAGATTTTTTTTCCCCTATGTGACCTGTATCTGATCTTTTAATGACAGTCTGAACAACACAGATCTGATTTTTTCAAATGCGACCCAGGACACTTGGATATGTGCTCCTGAAACTGATACATATCTGATCTTTTGACATGCGACTTCAGTCTGAACGGTCAAAGCGCATTCATCTGACCTACACGTTATCAACAAGCCACAAACGTCACTATTCTGCACTGAAGTAGGCGAAAATTGTTAATGAACTCCGTGTCACTGAAGCGAAGCACATCACCACTCACCACTCTTGGCTCCGTCTCCACATCCACACGTTCCTTTCAACGGACGTCGCTGCCGCTGTCCCACAAAACACCACGGCCAAAAACCTCGTCCTTCTCCTTCTCAATCTCCTCCTTAAAACAAGTAAGTTGTTCATGTTCTGGCTCCGGTACGAGAGGAACTTTAAAATCTCCAGGTGCTCAATGCTCGCGTCCATGTTTGGACAACTTCTGTAAACACAGAGACGCTCGCTGCGGTTGACGCCGTCGTGTTTCCAGTGCACATGTGGGACACTTTCGGGCCGTTTACTGTTCCACTGGAGTCACATACAAGTCGCATTATTTGGAAATGTGAACGACCTCGCAAAAAGATCGGATTTCACAAAAAAATCGGAATTGAGCATTAAGCCCTGCCGTCTGAAGGAGGGTTTGTGTGTTAAACATGTGTGAATGAAACAAAACTCCCGTGACATTATAACATAGATGAGAAAATAGCGTAATATGAGCGCTTTAAAAACATCGCCAATGCATTTTCCCAGCAACTCAAAACGACCTATTAGAGAAAAGTTGCATGTAAAACATGTATTTATGAAATCTATTCAGCTTTCAACACTGATCATTTGAATTATATTTTAGTCATAACATTTTGCAATTAAGGCCACTGACTGTTCCATTTTTGCAATTGTAGTTTTAGTATGAAAAAGCACAAACAAGGTCGGCTAAAATCCTTGGCAGCCTTTTTGAATAATTTTTAACAATTCCTGTGTCCTCCAAAAACTTTTCTTTTGAGCTAAATCAATGTCAAATGAATGAACAAAATGGATTATGTGATTTCATAAATTTAATAGCAAGAGAAACGGGAATTTGTATGTCGTATGTGAAACACAGACTTAGTTCTCGGTGGCAGAATGGGAAAAGTCCACACTGGTTTGATCTAGTTAGACCTGGTTTAGTCCTGGATTTCTTAGTCCTGCTCTAGACCTAGTTTAGTCCTAGTTTAGGTACAGTCCAGAACTGGTTTAGACCTGTTTTAAGCTTGCTATTTATGCTTGAACAAAATGAAGGTTTATCTTAAAAGTGCACTGAGTAACTTTTCCGATGGAGGGTCCATCAACTGCTTGTTTCTGTGGAGATGCCTTTTCTTTGCCTTGGTTTTCAGGACATTAAATGTATCAATTTCCAAGTTACAGGTCAGATCTGTGGAGAGGCGACTACACTGACAATGAGAATGCATTTGTAAGGTATTTTGAAGTAATCAAAAATAAAATAAGATGGATTTTACAGCATACTGTCGCATAGTGCTCTTTTAATTTTAGTTGTATTACATAAAAAAAACAAACAAACAAACAAACAAAAAAAAAAACATGTTTTTAATATTTTTGTCACTCAAAATATGTGCCGGTGATGTGCAACACCCAGCAAAGATCTGAGCCCAGACTACACCAGCAGCATGATACATTGAGCTTTTTGACCCCTGGTAGGTAAATGATGGAAAGTTTCTGAAGAAAACAGCACATTTAATGCCACATGAGTAGATTGATTTGAGACTGGTATAGTGGTACTACACGTGATAAAAATGATGCCGGAACACAGAAGCAGACAGCAGTTTTAGTTCGCTATGGGTGGATAATTAAAGTTTGGATTTTTATTTCCTACGAGGAGGTCTCAAACGTCAAATGTTAATAATAATGTGTTTCATGCATCTTTGTGCACATTTGTTTACGTTTTACAGAAACGAAACTTAAAACCACATAGCTCATTTGCATAAACTATATGTGCTACTTGTGTGCTGATGTCATCAGCTCCTGTCGGACTAAAGCACGACTCAGTGTAATATGAGTGTTCTTTCGGTGACAGAGGATGTGCTGCTGATGGTGAGTCTGTTCTTTATATAAGTCTGCAGATCATTCGCATAGACCGTGTATATGAATGGACATATATTCTCTGTAGCATTTCATTATTTTCGTAAATGCAACAAACTATAGTCTTGACACAGGTAAAAAAAAAAATATGCATTGTTACCCTCATTTTAGATGTCAAAAAGGGTTTTGTGGCTCCAGGTCTTTTCTTTTCTGTGGGAGATGCTCCATATGACTCTTGGAGTATTTAAGGTTGCTGACCCCTGCACTAGTTGAAGGTCCTGCTGCTACCTGCTATTGCTTGGCCTAGAATGTGCCACAGTGAAACATTAAGTTTATATAGATCTCAAGTATTCATACATGTGTTATACTGCTCAAAAAGAACCTTAAAAACATGCATTCTAAATCCAAAAAAAGTGACACAACATTATTTGACAAAAAAACAGTAAAAAGCGGATTAATAATAGACACGCTGTTACCTGGTCCAGACAGGAGGTGGATAATATCTTGTGACTCAGACCTCATAAAATGTACTTTAATTTAATAAAGTCGAGAGAGTGCTGCTGATAATACCCAAGAGTGCATTGGCGAGACAAAATGACCACTTTGTAGCTCGCGGGTAAGTACACAGACAGCCCAAGTCCCTGTTGACAGAAAGCAATCAGGGCCGATCAGCGAGGGTGGATAATTGTGTGTATCTGAATCAGCATATACGAGCGTGGCGAGCTCATTTTGAAATCAGCAGAAGAGTGAGCTGTGTCAGACCTCACAGCTAAATGCAGAGTCGTGACGCTTCTGTTCTGTTTTGGGTTTTGGGCTTTGTGTTTTGGAGGGAGTTCTGTGTCTGAGCTCGGGATTTTCAGCTTTGGGGCAGGATTCAAACTTTTGATACTGAATCAGAAATGACGCTGTACCTATAACGGGACGGTCTGTTATCTCTGTGTTTATGAACTGGGTTGAGCATTAGGAAAATTTTGGTATTACAAGCGCAGGGCTTAGAGTGTGTACGACTGGTTTGAATGTTTATTGGTTTGATCAATAGAAACCTAAATATTAAAACTGCTGGTCTTAAAAAGAACACTGGCCTATATAGTAAAGTACTGGATGTTTTCGGATTGTAAGGTGCAATATCAATAATGTTGAATTCTCTCGTCTATTTTCATACATAAGGTGCACCAGATTATAAGGTGCATTAAGCGAAACAAACGGACGACACTTACCTCCCTGTCTTGGTGAAAATGTATTATGAATGTGAATGTGGGTGGATTATTTAAGTTAGTTTTTTTCCAAGGACTCAAATATACATTGAGTAATTATGTGTTTAATGCAGCTTTGTGCACATTTGTTTACGTTTTACAGAAATGAAACTTAAAACCACATGGGAAATTTGCACAAACTATAAGCGCTGTAAAAACAGCTGCTTCGTTTGCTCTGATGTGGTTCAGTTTCTGTCGGACTTTCTCAGCGAGGTTCCAGAATACAGTAGCCATAACGCTCCAAAAAGCGGTGTGGCTTCGTAGTTTACCAAAGCCTTACTAAAACATTTTAACATTTTTTATTTTTGAGCGCCGTGTACTACATAAAATCAGTTCGAGGTCAGTAAACGCAACCAGAATTAACACATAAGGCGCACTGGATTATAAGGCGCACTGACGATTTTTGAGAAAATTGAATTTGGATGGATTTTAAGTGTAACTTATAGTCCAAAAAACACCGTAGATTTTAAATTTGGTCATGAAAGCATTTAGGCCTACTAGTCATGTCGATTTTTGGTTTTGGATTTTCAACAAAAATGGTGAGTGTGAAAAACAGCTGCTCATGCCAGCTGGCTCGGGACTGTAACTTTATATGATGAACAGCACAAATCTACTTGTTGTAATTTGAACCAGGTCAGCGCTTTCTGGTCAAACTGTGTTATAATAAAACTTAGACTAAATCTAAGTTGAGAAGAAGAGTTTCTAACTTAGTAGAGCTTTCAGTTAACTTCACGCCCCCAGAAAATGTTAACGACATCTGCAGCAAAGTATGATTGGGTTTCAGAGTGATTAAAATCTAACACAGTTGCCATAGCAAGTAACAAGTCAAGACTATTACTAGATTACAATATTAATTTGAATGGGTAAAAGTCCTAAATGGAAGCCGAAACCCACAAATATAAAAAAAAAAATACAGACTATTTTGCTGCTGTGGTGCCAAAATTGAATGACAGTGAATGATTGTACAGAGGTTAGTTGGTGAAACAATATTTATTAATCTTAAACCTTTATTTTCTCAAACAAAGTAATGACAAATAAGCCTTGGACTAACTTGACTGACATGGCACTAATATCTTGTCTTTCTCTATGCTCCTCAGGAAACATGGTGAGCAAAGAGGGGGGCAGATGCATGCTCACCAACTCAGAGTCGGACTCGGAGGCGGCCCCGGTGCCCTCCACGTCTCTGGCTCTGGAGAAGTTTTCCCTGGAGGCCAGTCGACAGGTGCGCAAGAGGAACAAGGCTCTCCAGGTCCGATTCAAGGACATCTGTGAAGCCCAGAACGAGCAGAGGGAGGCGGAGCTACAGGCGGCGAGGAAGGCGGGAAAACCCATCTCCTACAAAGTGGCCTACAGGAAGTACATGACGGTCCCAGCTCGGAGGTCCATCCCCAACGTGACGAAGAGTACGGGGGTGCAGACGTCTCCGGACCTGAAGAAGAGATACCAGACTTTTCCCTTTGAGAGGAAGAAGGGACATACTTTTAAACACGTGGCTGCCGTGGAAACGTACAGAGGACAGAATAATGGGGTGATGGTGGACGGGAAGCACTCTCAGACGGATTTGGACGACGACGAGGAGGAGGGGGGAGCGTGCGGGGGGAGCGGGCTTCGTAGGACCCGGGCTCTTCTTCATAACGAGTGTGTGGCTACAGTGGAACAGCACAGAGCTCCGGACGGTCTGTGCTCGGAGCTGCTCCTCAGCTGCTCTGCCGACGCCGACTGTCTCCCGGACGCTCAGGACTACCAGCTCTGCAGCGCCCCCGTGAGGACAGGAGTACAACAACCACAACAGGCGGACAAGAGGCAGCTGCTGCACCTGGAGGAGGGAGCGTCACACACCCTGCCGGACAGGGGCTCCAGAGTGACAGGGCCCATCGCCTGGAACTCCCTGACGCAGGTGGAGTGTTTGGACAGTCCCTCGGTGCGGAGGAAGAAGAAGACGTTACAGCTGAACGGGCTACAGGCGGAGACTCTACCGCGGGCAGGAGGGTGCATGACCCAGGCCCAGTGCCACCCGGGGCGGCTCTCGGCTCCTCCTCTGTCCTCTCCACCGCCAGACTCCACGCAGAACACCTGTAAGCAAATAGTGCCTCTGAACCAGGACGGGGACGTCAAAGCACAGCTCCAGGCCATGGAGAACCTCATCAGCTCCAGCCAGGAGACCATCAAAGTGCTGCTGGGGGTGATCCAAGAGCTGGAGAAGGGGGAGGCTCACCGCGAGGGGTAAGACAGCGCTTTCTTTGATGTTGTGTTCAGTCTATATGACGCAAAATTGACTCTTGAGAGCTTTAAGCCATGTTGTTACACATGTTTGAGTAACACTTTACTTTAGTCTGTACTTCTCCAAAGCTCAAAATGCTCTGTTCCACCTTATGATGTTATGAAGCTGTAGTTTTCAACAAGCTACCTTTTACCTTTAGTTCAGAGTAGGGCTGCTCAATTATGAAAAAAATAAAATAAATAAATAAAAATCATTATCTCGATTATTTTGGTCAATATCAAAATCATGATTATTCAAACAATTATTTTTTAGTTACACAATGCATTTACTGAGCATTTCTCTCTCACACAAAAACAAAAACACAACACTTTGTTATTGATAATTTACATAAAACTACTACTACTACAGGCTACACAAAAATACAGGCTATAAATAAGTACTTAGAGCAGTTTTGCGATGTATTGTGTAAATGTATGTAAATATTTATTATTTTTGTTCATTGATTTTATTATTATTATTTTACTTACTGATTGTATTAGTTTCCTCACGTTTCCAAACATAATTCTGATGTTTAAGTAAAATGTTTTACATTGCTGTGTGAAGCACTTTGGAAACTGTCTTGTTTATAAAATGTGCTATACAAATAAAGTTGGATTGGACTGGATTGGAAAATACACACTGAAGATGAAATAAGGCATAGAAAAACATAAAAATATCCAAAATAAACTATATAACCAGCTGTTCTACAATCTCTATGTTTAAATAAATACATATACTTACTCATATATACAAAAAACAAAAAAAACAAATCGAAATCGCAATCAAAATTGAATTAATTGCACAGCCTTAGTTCAGAGTTTGTCAATTCCAGGGCTGAAAATATCCAAAAGATTCTAGTGAAAGTGTATGAAGTTTAAAAACACAAAGCATCAAAAGGTGGAGCAGAGTTTTTTCCAGTTTGAGAGAAGAACTCATCGTAAATATGCAGGAAAGTGTGAATGAAACAAAACACAACTCCAGGTATTTTTGACGATGAAACATTATCATACCATCGATCTGGAGACATCATAGTATGGCCCTTTAACTTTATTTGTATTGATTTTTAAGAAGCTCTACAAATACACCACTCCGTTTAATACAAGATGAATATACGCCACAGAAAAGGATGTTATGACTCAGCATGACTCCTGCTTTAAGAGTTATCATTTCCATATATCGAGAGAAACCCGACAGCTGCGAGTGTGTGGAAAAAGAACAGGGCCGGAGCCGAGTTTTCACCTGACACGACCCCGGCTCCTCCGCTTCTGTGATGATCTCTGCAGATACCAGAGCCAGCGCCGCGGGGCTAATGCGCAGACCAATCATCGCACCCCGTTTGCTCCGAAGGTTTGACGAGCCAGAGACATACGAGAGCGTCTGTGCGTGAAGGATTTAATCGCGAAAGTGAGACACAAATTTTGTACTTCAGGAAAATTCCACGGTGTTCAAAAACAGCTGATTAAAATATTTCAGGGTTCATTAAGACTGAATGGGCAAACCTTCTATTTTTGAGTTAAAAATCAGTGGAGTTTACAACAAAATTAAGTTTTATGCGATTCTACAATGTGCATAGTCTTCAGGTATGTTTATGGCAGTAGTTACTAAGCATGTGACAATATCCAAATCTCACGATATTTTCACGATATACATCTCACAGTACGATATTTATTGCGATATTTTGTGGAGGCAAACAAAATTGTGAATATGCTACTTTTTCCTCAAAAAATTTCTGGACAAGACTTAATTCAAAGAACTAAGGACTCATGTAGTTTGCAAAAAACGAAGCAAAGGATCATGGTCGATGTACTTCCCTCTGTTTTTTTTAATCTATTGCGAAATCCAAATCTCTCTGTAAGATATTTATTGCGATATTTTGGCGAGGCAAAAACGACAAGAATTTGGTGTGAATTCTTTCCGTCATTATCGCAGGAATTCAAGTAAAAAAACATATTTCTTCATGTTGTTTGCGCTGAAATGAATCATGGGATACGTAGTTCCCGATGTGTATAAGCCGTTGCTACTTTAAAAATCATACATTTAAGCAAAGAAACTTGTAATTTGATATATTATGATGGCTCACGATATTATTGAGAGACTTTTGACGATACGATATCAAGATATTTTAGTTATTGTTACATCCCTAGTAGTTACCATGGTGACACAATGCACGCACTAACAAACATAGCCAAATATGTTTTTTTTTAGATTAGACTTGGACTTAGAAAAAATACAAAATGGATTTAAACAACATATTTTCAGGAGTCTGTTCGATTCTCAAAAAAAAGATTGAGTGTACAGTGGTCCCTCGTTTATCGCGGGGGTTACGTTCTAAAAATACCCCACAATAGGCGAAATCTGTGAAGTAGTCAGCTTTATATTTTACAATTATTATATCTGTTTTAAGGCTGTAAAACCCCTCACCACACACTTTATACACTTTTCTCAGACAGGACAGTTACAACCCTTTTTGCATCCTTCTTAAAACTTATCGCTGCTGTCGTCCTTTTGTTATTTTCCTCCTTCTTTATGTAATGAACCGAAGATTAATTTATTCTGTAATGGCGCGCTAAAGCCACGTAACTTCTACCTTACTTCAGCGTGTCAAGAAGTCCAACTTTTTGTGCGATTGTGCCTTTTGGGTGCGACCACAGGAGCCTTTGTCGGTGCAGAACGTTTCGTCGACATTGTGGGTTTTGTCGGGGAGAAAAGTGGCAAACATACAGCACTTCAGAATCACACTGATAGAGATCGAACATTTATGTAAATTTGGCAGCTGAACGCATTCTGTACTGTACAGGAGACACGGCACGGAGGAGATTGACTGACAATGGTCTAGAGCAGGGGTGTCAAACTCATTTTGGTCCGGGGGCCGTAGCCAACCTACCTTGATCCCAAAGGGGCCGGATCAGAAAACTCATGTCATATAAACCCCAAAAATAACAATAAGTTCAAATATTTGTGCAGAGAAACACAAATCTATTACAGAAATCTTTTTTAAGTGATGAACTCTTTCTTTTACAAAATATTATAATATTATGAACAACCTGAAACTTTAAGAAAAATGCAAACTTAAAGCAAAAAATAAATTGTATGCAAATAGGAATAAGTAAATTTTTGTTGGAAAATCCTGCACTCGGCTCCACTTTTCTCATTTGTGACATTTTTCTGATGAGGGTGTCACGGTCAACAGTCAAAACGATCGTCCTTTAAGAGCGTTTGGAAAGAGACAAGTCTTCATTTGTGCTGCTCTGGTGGGAGGGGCCACGTACAGAGACGCTGGAGACGCTGCTGTGATAAACACAACAGAAAATTAACAAGATTTTAATAGAAAATATAATTAAAATATTTTAATAGAAAATCAGCCGAGGGCCACATTAAAGGTCTTGGAGGGCCGGATCTGGCCCCCGGGCCATATGTTTGACACCTGTGGTCTAGAGTCTCTTAAACAATCAGGATGCAGGGGGAGGAACACAATGCGCTTTCATACGCTGTAAAAAAAAAAAAAAAAAGCGAGGAAAATTGCACAAAAAAAATCCACAAAACATTGACTATAACGGTGAACCGCGATATAGTGAGGGACGACTGTATTGTTAATTGAGAGGGACTTGTTTAACGGCACTAATCATCTCATCTGTTGTAGTTCCAGCTAAGTCAAGTCTTTCTGGTCGGATTGTTAAAACAAAATGTCTAATTTGCGTAACAGAGCTTCAGTCAGAGCAATGCCTTCAGTTAGCATCTCACCTCCAGAGAAAATCAAACCCCTAAAGAGGACCATGAACACTCGTACTGATCACATGCTCCTGCAAATGTGGTGTTTGAATCCATCTGGTATTTTTTTCTTAAAGGTTGTATGGAGGATTTTTTTTTGTTTCAAACTGTCAGTCAAAGATTAAAATACCATTACAGAGACGCAGCAGCTTTGTAATTATGATGACCAAAAAAAAAAAAGGACAAAAATCTATCAACTGTGGACGTGTTGAGGCCAGATAAACATCAGCCAATAGAAAACGAGGCTCCCTCATTTTCTATTGGCTGTTAGGTTGTCAGTCAAACTCCCTAGTATAACTGATTCGTCGGAGCGCGGGGATTACGTGGTTTACGCAGCGGTTCTTAGAGGCTTTTTCGAACTGTCGCTTCCTCGCATTTCGCACAAAGTTTGTCGCGACGGCGGACGAGAATCCACGACCGGTTCGCCACAAAGAAAGTCCGTTTTTGAGGTCGCTGAAAGAAGAAGAGAAGGGGAAAAGGAGCAAAGCCAAACTGAGGTGATTCTTGGAGACCTCGTCCAGCGATGGCGCGACCGAAGCAGACGAAGGGTCTAAAAACTGACGCATCGGTCGCTGAATTACTTCTAGACAGGAAACTTCAACAGTAATTCTGAACGCGCACAAGGACTGTCGCGGTATTTCTCTTCCCTTAAAAAAATCCTCTATACAACCTTTAAGTTTCCAGACGAATTTATCTCAACAAACGAACAAACGTATCTCAAACGGGTGAATGTTTAGACCAGCGCCAACTTGACGTCACTACAAAGTATCAATCGTGTCACCGCTTCACATTTACGACTCACTTTCGGGCTTCATCTCTGTACATTTATTCCACGTTGTACTCATGTAATACTCAGCGCTTCTTGTTTAACCTCCTCAGAGAAGTGGCCATAGAAAAGTCAAGAGTTTGTGAAAAAACCCATTTACTGCCCAGTGGCCGGGGACTAGAGTAGAGCAGAGATAGCATCAGGCTAAAGTCAGGGACGCTCCATCAGAACCAACAAGGCAAACAAACAGAAGCATTTGTACTGAAAATCGCCACGCTCACAGATCACATCAGGTCTGACCGGCGGCGCCGCACAGAAGTATGAAATGAGAAAAGTTATTTAAGTGGTTTCTCAAAGTGGTTTGGGGCTAAAGTTGTCATAAAGCAATACCTGGATGCTTATCAAGACTAAAACTAGCAGCTGAAAGTC